GGAAACGGTTTATTAGGAGGGAGTGGTGGAGCCGGGCCAGGCAGGAAGACGCTGGAATAAGAAACATTTTTGCTCCGGCCCCTTTCCCAGTCCCCGGAGGCCGCTGCGCCAGCCGCGCCGAGCGAGCCCCTCCCCGGCCCCAGCCCCGTCTGGGGCCGCGCCCGGACCCCGGACCCCGGCCGGCTGTCCAGAGCCCGTCGTGTGACCGCGGCCGCCGCCGGTGAGGGGAGGAGGCCGCTCGCTGCACGTCCGCGCCCCGCCGACCGCAAGGCAGGCCCAGAGGTGAGTCGAAGTCCGTTGAGGGGGGCAGCTGACCCCCACCCCAATGGGCCTTTCCCACGGCAGATCCCAGAGACCCTCAGAGAGGTGGCCGTAGGATCAGTCCCAGCTCCTCGTAGGGCAAGCTGGCCCTCGCCCTCCGCGAACATTTGCCTATCACCCCACCTAAGACTGCAGCGGGTTGGATCGAACCTGAATTGGGATTCAGAAAACTTTGTTCCTGGGGCCACTCAGCTTCGCTGTTTTCCCATCCTCATCCATAAAATGGGCAGAAGGATACCCACCCTGCTTCACTTATGGAGAAGGGGGTCACATGTCCTTCCAGGCTCCTGGCTTGACCTGGGGGTGGGTGTCCACTTCCCGTGCTGTTGAGCCTCTCGTTGAAGCCCATCTTTCCCAGAGCAGTCCTTGCAGGTCTTGCTACAGGAATCTGACACTCTGGCCCCTTCCTCCAAACCTCACCTCCAGCCCTGTATGGTCACAGAGACCTCATGCCATGGACTTCTTTCAGGATCCAGGTCAAAGGGGATCGCACTCTTCCTCCAGAATAGGACCCCGGATTTTCAGTCTGCCTGGGAGGCCAGTGCTGTTATGAGCATCTCTGAACTGGTCACCCACCCTCTCTTTTCTTTTCTAAGGACAGAGGGATAGTGGACAATAGCTCTCGCCCTCTCTATATGGGCAGCTTCTGGCTAAGTCAGGGTCTGTCTGACATCCCTGATCCCTGACTGTTTATTCGACCTGGTACCTGTCCTTTCATCCTATCAGGTGGTTAAAAACGGCCTCTATTTATTGAGTACTTACTATGTGGACACTTAGGTATAATACATTTTTGTCAAGTAATCCTAGCTGCAACCTAGGACAAGAGGTGTTATTATGTCCATCCTACAGAAGAGGAAGGAGATTCAGATGTGGGTCATTTGTCCAAAGCTCCATGGATGGTTGGGTTTTTAGTAACTTTTGTTAAGTGCTTACGATATACCACTTAGTACACTTATACCTATGAAATGAGCACTATTATAATTTTTTTATTACTTATTTGCCTATGTTGGGTCTTAATTGTGGCACATGGGATCTTTCGTTGAGGCACGTGAACTCATTGTGGTGGGCTCTAGAGCCCATGGGCTCAGTAGTTGTGGTGAGTGGACTTAGTTGTTCAGAGGCATGTGGGATCTTAGTTCCCTGACCAGGGATTGAATCTGTGTCCCCTCCATTGCAAGGCAGATTCTTAACCGCTGGACCACCAGGAAAGTCTTGCAATGAGCACTGTTATTATTCTCATTTTTCATAGGGGATCTTAAGCTTCGGAAGGTTTAAGTAACTTGTCCTAACTCTCATAGCCCTAAATGCAGGATTGGAACCTGGGTCTATATGATCCAGAGATGACAACCTGACGCCTGTGCTACACTGTGCTGCCTTTGCATTCCGTCTGAGATCCTAAACTCCCTACTTGATGCTACATCCCAGTCCAGTACTGTGAAGGGTTAATGAAGTGATGCAGAGGAAAGTGCTTTGTGATGCTAAGGGGCCACCCAGCATGAGCAGTTCAGTCTGGTCCTCTGCTGTGTGGGTAAGACCGGTTGATGTACAGAGCAAGGCACTTGCAGCCCCAGGACAGTACTGCTGTGCTGAGAAACTGCTGCTCATGGGAGCTCATTAAATCAATCCCTCAAGTGTGCTGGGGAGAAGGAAACTGACCTCCACTTTCTGAGCACACCCTTACTCTGGTTCTCCCCACCTAAGACTAAGGCTATAGCACATAGATGATTTCTAGACAAACGCATTTTGGGTACCAGGCGATGACAGTTGCAGTCTACTAATGCAACCTCCGCTTGCTCTTTTTCTTCCTTTGAGGGACCTATCTAACACCAAACAACTGCAGAAATTAAATGACCAAGTGAGGATGTATTACCAGCAATTTAAGTCAATCAAGACACACATGGTGATTCTGGGCAAGAAACCTAACATCCCCCAGCTTCCGTTTCCCTATTAGATTGTCGTGAGGATTAAATGAGATCATCCATCAAAGTTCAGTACTTAGCACATAAGTAGTACTCAGAGAAAGCTAACTCATTACTAAGAATTTCACAGTGGTTAAGTTAACGTTTAAAATTAGTTTAGCATTTGTGATTTCTGGCTAAAAACTGTGATGCTTCTGTCAGCAGGAGATCATTCAAGAAGTTTTGTTAGGTGGAAAAGGAGTCCACCAGTCCCCAGGAGTCTAGTTGTGCTGGAGTCAGGTGTCAGGGCGCATTATGCCGGGTCAGCTCTGAGTTGGAACTGATCTGGACTCAGCACCCTCCTGTACTGAAACTTACTCTCAGCCTAGTAAAATGTTGGACAGTCACAGCTTTCCTTCACTGCATTCCCAGTTTTAGGCCAGAGGCAGATTCTGCAAATGCTGCCAAGCCCTCCCTGCACTGTTCTTGGGCCCCAGAGGCTGGAGATGGCCTGAACGAAGCCCATACCCCACCCCTCTCTGCAGCATCTCCAAGTCCTTGGCTCCAGTGTTTAGCCTTGTCTGTCCCTTCTCCACTAGAAGTGGCACGGGGTGGGGGGTCTCCCCGAATGGGAATCAGAATCCCTGCCCTCTGTACTCCACTCTATCGTGGAGTTGTATAGGACTCAGTTCTCAAAGTGTGGTACCCACACAAACTGATCCGAATTCCCTGGGGGAATTTTAAAAAATGCATGTTTCTTACTGGTCTCAGTGGACTGAACCAGAATCTGGAGCAGGAGTGAGACCAAAGAGTGCATTCCTAATGAAGCACTTGAGATGATTCTGCTGCTTAATAGTGTAGTGAGAGGGTGCACTGGAGCACAGAGAGGGGAAAGCATGGGGAGAGGATTCTAGAAGGATGCCGGCTATCACTCTTATTGTTACCCACTTTTTCCTTCTTGCTTTATCTCCTCTCCTTTAGCTGCTTTCTGAGCAAAGACTGCCAAGGATGGATTCCCGCCCTTACCCCAGTGGGAAAAGCCAGCTTGTCTGGGGTTCCTTCTCTGGCCACCAGTCCCACTGCAGAGTGCTTGCCAGAGTCCCCCCTGTATTGCAGGAGGGGCATGAGACAGGAGGTCAGGCAGAGGCTGGGGACACAGCTGCAGCAGACCAGGGCTCCATTTCCTCCCCCAGCCCTGGGCCTCTGGGGCAGAGGAAGCCCAGGCAGGAAGACCAGAGCTGCCACCAGCCAGCGAGGCCCATGAAGCACCCCCCCCCCCACCCCCCGTCATCCTGCCCTCAGAGCCTCAGCATCATGGATCTTCATTTGGCATCATTCTTAGACTAGGGGCCTTCTGCAGCCTATATGGCCCTATGCCCAGCCCCCCAGCCTTACCATGTTACACCAGAAGACAGTTCTCTTCCCTCATGTCTGCTGCCCCTACCTGGGCATTCTGTCCCCATCACACACCTGCTACTCTCCACCATTCAGAAAGTTCTTCTTGCTGTCTGACCTCAGTCCTTCTTGCTGCAGCCTCAACCCTAATCTTTTCATTCTAAGCCTTTGAGAGATGAAGATGGGGGTCACTTTGAAGCACTAGCTGGTCTGGGACTTGAGATGGGACTATCATAGACCAGAATTACTCCCCTAACAATCCCCACCAAACTTTTGGAAAAGTTCAATCTTAACCAACCACAGAAGGTCAAACATTCAGTGTCTAAGTATGTTTCACTTCCCTTCCACATCACTGGCCCTCCCCCCCCCCTCTTTCCCAGGACCTCAAGGACAGAGAAAAGCGGGGGAGTGGCTCAGAGAGGACATCTTATAGTCTGATGAGGGTGCAGGGAGGTTCCTTAGAGACAGTGTGGCCTGGCACTGTCCAGGCTTGGTATGGCTGATACAGCCCCGCAGGCTCAGACATGGGCTGTCACCCCAGACTGGGATATGGAGTAGAAGCCCCACTGGACTAGGAGTCTGGACACCTGGGTTGTACTCCTAGCACTGCCACTGAACCCCATTTGACCGTGGACAAGCCTCCTCTCCTGGCTGAGCCTTGATCCCCATCTTCTCTAAAATAAGGAACTGGGCTCTGTGATTCACAGGGTGTACGAGGATTCTGTCACGGGGGTGTCCCAGCCCCAAGTGGCTCCTGCAGACCCTGTAGTGACTCCAGCCTGCCCTGAGACCATGTCCTGAGCTCCCTGCTGTGCGTGACTCCTGCCTGTTCTATCCAGACCCCAATCTAAACAATCTTGATTCCTGTTCCCAGCTTGGCGGGACCCTGAATGGCAGGAAGTGAAGACAGGAGCCTGTTTATGTTTGAGGCAGCCAGGCCTGAGAGGGGGGAGCACTGGGAAGGGGGTGGGCAGGGGTGAAGGCTGGGAAGGGGTGGGCAAGGGACAGGGGACAGACAGGGGTGGGGGACTGCTAAAGAGATGCTCCTTCCACCCCAGCCCCATGCCCTCTGCGCCCTCCGGTCTGCACTCAGCGGCAGGACAGCTGGGAGTCCCCCGAGCTCTCGGTCACTTAAGCATGGCTCCCCACCCTTTACCCCTAACAGGATGGTTTCCATGGGGAAGTGAACCAGGACTTCCCCTGCAGGCCCCGCCCCAAAGCCAGACGCAGGGAGGAGGCCTCCCTGCCTGCCCCCCCCCACAAAAAAAAAAAAAAAACTCCCAGCAATTTCCTCTGGGTGGGAGGGACCCACAGTCAGTGGCTGAAAACACAGAGGGGAATCACATTTCAAAGATGTTATTGCACCCCTTCTCCTCTCCAGGGATCATGACCTTGAAACTTCCCAGGAGAAGGCTTCTGATGCTACTGATGGTCTGGGGCCTGACCCAGGGTGAGTGCCGGGAAGCAGGTAGGGAACAGGGGCCTGAGGGAATAAAGAAAGGGCTGTCTGGGCTCAGGTCTTGTTGGGCTGAGTCTGAGGAGCTGGGAAGAGGGGGACTGGGGAGACAGGGCTCAGTGAGCTGAGCTACCCCAACCCTCCTGTGCTGGCCTCTTGATCCAAACCAACAGGATGGAGCTCTTTCAGACTCCAGGGTGGGAACATGTGTATGGGGATTCAGACAGTGGGGCTGTTGGCGGGGGTGGGGGTGGTGGTGGTGGTCCTGGGAGAGCTCGCAGCACTGGGGCTGGGGGGCCTGCTGTGCCTGGAACTGGGAGGGGCAATCCAAGGATCAGGGAAGGGAGAGAAGCCTGGTTCTCATGGTGGCAGCTGCCCCTAGGAGGGGGAAGGCTGAGGATGGAACTAAAGGACTGGGACCCTTAAGGGCTGGTTTGAGAGCTCAGAAGGGAGGGGGCGGTTGGGCAGACTTAGGGGTTAGGCTCCTCCTAGAGATCTGGGCCCAGAGTGGCTGAGCTTCCATGTGTCCCTCAGGTGACCCCTTGAAGCCCTCTCGGGGCCCGCTGGTGACCTGCACGTGTGAGAACCCACACTGCAGGGGGCCCACCTGCCAGGGGTCCTGGTGCACAGTCGTGCTGGTGTGGGAGGACGGACAGCTCCGGGAGCACCGGGGCTGCGGGAGCATGCACCCGGAGGTCTGTAGGGCGCGCCCCACGGAGTTCGTCAACCACTACTGCTGCTACAGCCCCCTATGCAACCACAACGTGTCCCTGGTGCTAGAGGGTACGTCTGGCTGCCCCGGAAACCCCTCCCCGGCTTCTCCGACTCTGCCCTCCCTGCCCTGCTTGCCTCTCATGCTCTGGTCTGGAGGGTGGGGGAGGCAGGGCCCTGGGGTCTGACTGGCAGAGCGGCAAGGTGGGGGGCATCCAGCCTCATAGAAGCTGGGCCTCAGTATCCCTTTTCCACCAGCCACCCAGACTCCTCCGGAGCAGCCACAAGGAGACAGCCAGCTGCCTCTGATCCTGGGCCCCGTGCTGGCCTTGCTGGTGCTCGTGGCCCTGGGTGCCCCGGGCCTGTGGCATGTCTGGCGGAGGAAGGAGAAGCAGCGGGGCCTGAACAGTGAGCTGGGCGAGTCCAGCCTCATCCTGAAGCCATCTGAGCAGGGGGACAGCATGTTGGGGGTATGGGCCTGGGGGAACCTGGGACACAGGGTGGTTGGTGGGGGGTAGACAGGAGCCACAGAGTAAGGGGGGCACAGAGTGGCAGGTAGCTGAGCAAGGCACATGGCAGGCACTCAGATTTGGTTGGGCACTGGTCGGGAGGGGTTTGTTAGTGGGAAGTGTGGCGAGATGAGGCAGTGGGACCCAGGTTGAGGAGGGAGAAATGGGTTTGGTGGGTGGGGGCTGCCCCCCAGTGGCCTCTCGGTACTCCCAGGACCTCCTGGACAGCGACTGTACCACGGGCAGCGGCTCAGGGCTCCCGTTCCTGGTGCAGAGGACAGTGGCTCGACAGGTCGCCCTGGTGGAGTGTGTGGGTGAGCAGTGGGTGAGCTCAGGGGGTGGGGACCAAGAGCTCCCAGTGAGCTTGGAGGGGTGAGGGAGTCACAGGTGGGGCCAGGCCTGGGTTACAACAGGAATTCTGCCAGTCAGGGAGGGGGTTGGAGATGGGGCAGTGCCTGATCCTTGGCCAGGCGCTGGGGTGAAACAAGAGGCAAATGGAGGTGGCCCGCCAGAGGCATGAGGTCTGAATTCAGTTAAACAGAAGCTTCAGAGGTTCTGCAGTTGGAGCCAGGGTGGCAATGTGAGGGGGCCTCTTCTGAGGGTGACCGCCCAGGGCGCTGCGTGTCTGTATGTGACCCCCTCCCTCCTCTCTGGTTGCTGGGTCAGGAAAGGGCCGCTATGGCGAGGTGTGGCGGGGTCTGTGGCATGGTGAGAGTGTAGCCGTCAAGATCTTCTCCTCCAGAGATGAACAGTCCTGGTTCCGGGAGACTGAGATCTACAACACAGTGCTGCTCAGACACGACAACATCCTAGGCAAGCGGGGATGGGGTGGGGAGCGCTGGGCCAGACCCCGCGTTCGCATGGCCCTGCCCCACCACCCGGCCTCTGAACACTGACCTAACCTTGAAGGACTCCCAGCGGCCCTCGGCCCCAGCTTCTGACTCCAGCTTCCTCTCTGCCCTAAGCCAGACCAGCCTCCACCCCATTCCCAGCTTTGCCCTGACCTCGTCCACCCTGTCTCCCCAGCCCCGACCCTGACCGGTCCAGCCTCCTTCATCCCTAGCCCCGTGGTGAGCCCCCTGATCCTCCACCCACAGGCTTCATCGCCTCGGACATGACTTCCCGCAACTCCAGCACGCAGCTGTGGCTCATCACGCACTACCACGAGCACGGCTCGCTCTACGACTTTCTGCAGAGGCAGACGCTGGAGCCTCAGCTGGCCCTGAAGCTAGCCGTGTCCGCGGCCTGCGGCCTGGCGCACCTGCACGTGGAGATCTTCGGCACGCAGGGCAAACCGGCCATCGCCCACCGCGACCTCAAGAGCCGCAACGTGCTGGTCAAGAGCAACCTGCAGTGCTGCATCGCCGACCTGGGTGAGTGGGAGGGGCGGGCCCTTGGCGGGAGGGTGGAGTCCGTGCACCCTCCCTCTCCACGCAGTTCTGTCTGGCCTGTTTGAATGCCTAGCTTCAATGGCCTGATTGGAGCGTTAAAGCTTACAGGGGTGTGTGTGGGTGTGTGTGTATACACACTGGCGCTTTAAAACTTACAGACGTGTATATGTTCTCATCTCACCTCCTGTAAAACTTACAGGGGTGTGTGTGTGTGTGTGTGTGTGTGTGTATACAGTGGCACTATACAACTTAACAGACGTGTGTATGTCTTCATCTCACCTGTGTGTGTGTGTGTGTGTGTGTGTGTGTACACTGATTGGCACTTTAAAACTTACAGATGTGTGTATGTGTGTGTGTGTGTGTTCTCGTCTTACCTGCACAAGAGCCCCACACCCCACCTGCGGCCTTAACGCTATTTTCAAGCCCAGACTCCTTCCACCACTTCAGCCAGGCTCCAGGTGTGGGGAGAAAGGGGCAGGGAGCCAGCAACCTGGGTTCTCATCCTGGCTTTGCTGACCACATCGCTCCCTGTCACCACGCATTGGGGTTCAGTTCTGAAATATATGCCTGCCTTGCCTACGCACATCTCACTGGATTCCCACACCTAGAGAGTGCCACACAAGCCAAGTAGGACAGGGACAGTTATTCCTGTGGCTGCTGTCTCCCAGCCCACCTCAGGGCGGGTCTCCAGTTGCCGGCCCCTCTGTGTCCTGCCGTCTCTCGCCCTCTCACCTCACGCTGGGATACCAGCCTCCCCAGGGCCACCCTGTCTGTGGGCTTGGGTGAGCAGCAGGAGTGACAGGCCCGGTTACCCACAGGCCTGGCTGTGATGCACTCCCAGGGTAGCGATTACCTGGACATCGGCAACAACCCGCGAGTGGGCACCAAGCGGTACATGGCCCCCGAGGTGCTGGAAGAGCAGATCCGAACCGACTGCTTCGAATCCTACAAGTGGACGGACATCTGGGCCTTTGGCCTGGTGCTGTGGGAGATCACCCGCCGGACCATTGTCAATGGTGAGCCTGCGGCAACCCCCTGCATGGGGTGGGGGAGGGGAACAGGGCAGGTGGATTCCCAGGCAGACAGGTGGGAGATGGGGCTTCCTGTCACCGGCTGGTGCCCGTGGCCTGAGGGGCTTGTGGTCAGACCTTCCAAACTCCCTTTACTGTCACCTACCAGCTGGTTCAGCTGAGTGACCTTTTAAGGTTCATCTGGGTCTGATTCTGGCTATGAAATCTTGGGTAATTGATAATAGCAGAAACATTAATAGCAGCTAACATTTATTGAGTTTCAGGATGTGCCAGATGCCATGCTGTTTACATGTATTATCTTACTTAGTTGTCCTGTGTTGGCAGGGAGGCGGTATGCTTGGTGATTACGAGCATGGGTGGGAAATCACACCAAGTTCAATTCCTGATTTTTGCCGTGTGCAAGGTACTTTACTTTTCTGTGCCTCAGTTCCCTCATTTGTGAAATGAGAAGAAAAGTAATTTCCAGTTGTTGGGATAATCCAAATAAGGTAATCAGGGCAGTATCTGGAACTGTTGTGGAGTTCAGTAAATATTGGTGGCGATTGTTGTTGTAATGACAAAGAGTTGACACAGCAGCACCCCCATTTTACAGATGAGGGGACTGAGGCACAGAATTACAACTGGCTAGAGACAGCACTGGGGTCTGAAACCAGGCAATTTGACTCTCAGGACCAGTGCTCTTTATTACTGTGCTACTTCCACCTCTTTGATCCTTGTTTCCACAGAAATGTGGGATGTAATAGTGCCTGCGCTGCCTGCTTATTGATGCCTTACTATTATAATTATTAGTTTTTTTTGGCTGCACTGTGCGGCATGCAGTATCTTAGTTCCCTGACCAGAGATCAAACCAGTGCCCCCTGCACTGGGAGTGGAGTCTTAGCCACTGGACCACCAAGGAAGACCCTAGTGCCTCATTATTACCATGGGTGCTACAGAGAACTGAAATTTGGAGGGGAGCAGGCACAGGGACCTCATTCTTCATATAGAGGGCCTGCCCTGTGGCTGGTGCCCTCCCAGTCCTGGGGTGGATGGGTGCTGGGTGGTGGTCTGGACCAGGTCGGGAGCCTGGTCAGTCTTTGTGGAGGCTGTCCACGGAGAGGGGCTGTCAGGAGTCTTGACAGGTTGGGGACCACCCTCTTGCTGGGCTCAGCTTCAGACATAAACTCCAGAGGCTGGGGCTGGTAAAGGGGGCACCTGGAAGGAACCGAGGCCCCGTGGACCCAGCCACAGGCAGGAAAGGAAGGCTGGACCAGCCTGGGCTGAAGAGGAGGCTGATTGCAGACTCCTGGGGAGGAGGGAGGCTCTGTCAGCTCCGTACAGATTCGCGGCGCATTATAAACACTGTAATCTGGTGTCAGCCCCGGCGCTGATTAAAGGCCCATTAGACACGCTCAGGCCTCTGTGCAGCACTGATTAGGGCTCAAGCAGCACAGGGCCCGGCCTGGACGCCCGCCACGGGGAGCACAGCTGGCTCGGGCTCTCCCGAGGCTGCGGCTGTTCTGTGTGGCTGCAGCCCCCAGCCTCGGGCTGGAAGCAGGGTGGGGCCTAAGGTGCTTTTCTGGGGTCTGGCCTCTTCTGCCCCAGTGACTGCCGCTCCACCAGCGTCATCTTCAGAAAGATCCTGCTCGGGATGGCACACTTGGGATGATGAGGGGAGCAGGTGCTGCTGGCTGAGGGGGTCAGCAGAGGCCTGTGCCACCCCTGAGAGTGGGTGAATGTGATCTGGACCTGGGTAGATCTTCCCTTAGAAGATGTATTTTCTTCCCCTTCTCCTCATTCTACATCCTCACCCAGCAGTCTGCCTCCCTCAAGTGTAGCTTGGAGGTCAAGAGCATGGGCTTTGGTAAGACTTACTGGGCTTAACTCCTAGCTTTGTCACTTACTATCTGTGTGATTTTAGACAAGCTTCTTAACCTCTCTGGCCTGAATTTCATTGTGTGTGTGTGTGTGTGTGTGTGTGTGTGTGTGTGTGTATGCGCGCATGCTAAGTTGCTTCAGTCCTGTCCGACTCTGTGAACCCATGGACTGTAGCCCGCCAGGCTCCTCTGTCCATGGGATTCTCCAGGCAAGAATACTGGAGTGGGTTGTCATGCCCTTCTCCAGGAGATTGTCCTGACCCAGGGATTGAACCTGAGTCTCTTATGTCGCCTGCATTGGCAGATGTGTTGTTTACTACTAGTGTGACTTGGGATCCCCTTCATTGCTTATAAAGCAGAGCTAATAAAATAATCTTCCTCATCTGATAGGGTTGTTTTGTGAGGATCTAAGCCATGCAGTTAGGACAGTGCCTGCCACATAGTAATTGCTTGGTAAACATTAGATATTTTGGGGCATCTCTGATAGTTGGGGCCTGGAAGCAGTACCCAGACCCTGGGTGAGAGGCAGCTGTGGAAAGACTGGAACAAGATCTGTCCTAGGAATGCAATGTGTTTAAGTCTTGACTCTGCCGTTACGAGCTGTGTAACCTTGGGTTCAACTTCTCCGAGCATCACTTTCTTCATCTGTAAAATGGGTGGTCAGGTTGCTGTGAAAACTAACAGGATAACGCATGTAAAGTGTTTATAGCACAATGCCTGGCATATATGGTGAATGTAAGATAAATGCAGTAATTATTGTTTATAAATATATTTATTATATTATGGTGTCCCTTTCAGAGGTAGCATGGGAGGGCAACTGGTTTCCTGGACCCTGGGACTGAGTGTGGGCAAGGCTCACTTCTGGGTGGTATGGGACCTGCTTGTGGTCCCAAGTGACTGTCCCATTGTCCTTCATCCCTAGGCATTGTGGAGGACTACAGGCCACCCTTCTACGATGTGGTGCCCAATGACCCCAGCTTTGAGGACATGAAGAAGGTGGTGTGTGTTGACCAGCAGACCCCCACCATCCCCAACCGGCTGGCTGCAGACCCGGTGAGGCCCCTGGGGGCGCTGGGATGGTGTGGGGTGGTGGCTCAGCTTTGGGGTTTCTGGGCTGAGGAACTCGTGTCTGGCCTCTGCTTCCCTTGGGTAGGCGCTAGTGGACCTATCCCAGGGGACCTCTCTGGGTACTCCCTCCCACATTCCTGCCTGTGGACCTCCAGAGACCCTCTGGTTATTCTGGGATTTTTTTAGAACGTTTCACCTTGCCTGCAAAGACAGAGGTTCTCTGCTGTTTTTTGCTGTGAAGTTACTGTTGTTCTATTTTCTCAAAGCACTCCACATACTTTATATAGAATGCACACATACGTATATATAGGCAAATATAGGCATATACACACTTCTGTACAAACATACACATGTACATACAGGGACACACACATGCATACACTCATAGGTACACGCATATGCACACACTCAAAGGTACACGCATATGCACACACTCACAGGTACACACACATGCACATATATACCAGACTGTTGGCCCCATGAAGACAGAGAAAAAGGCCTTTTGTCTCTCTCTTGGCGCTTTTCTTCTTATTCCCTGTCACAGTGCCTGGCACACACTAGGTACTCAACCAATGTTTATGGAATGAATGACTGAACACTGACATGTGTACACATGTGTATATACACAGACACATGTACCTTTCTGCACAACATTACAGAGCCACAAAAAGCCACTCCTATGCACACACATATACACTCCCTCTCAGGAACTGGCTTGAGTTCCAAGGCAGAGGTGAGGCTGGCTCACTCTGCGACCACTGAGCTTCCTGGACACATGCATTTTGAGGGCAGCACCCACCACCCAATCTCCGTGTCCACTGGACCAGGCCAGGGTTGGTGAAGGTACTGGGAGCCACTGCCTTCTGCAGTGGGCTCTGCTCTCAGAGGGGGATGTGAGAGACCCAAGGCCTGCAGGTCTCCCCTTTCTTGGGTCTTGTTGGAGTGAGGGTGGGGGTACTCACCAGAGGGTGTCCGTGAAGTCCTGAGTTACATCTGTCTTTCCATCCTGCCTACCTTTCCCCATCCCCTTCTCACTCCACTCCCTTCCTCTTCCATTTTTGTCTTTCTCTTCTCATCCTTGCCCTGTTCCCGCTGTCTCCCCTTCATCACTGCTGTCTCTCCTCTCCTTTTCGGCACTTTCATTTCCTTCGTCTCGACTTTTCTGTACGCTTGGGCATCCTCCTTGCCTCTTCCTTTCCATGGTCCCTGACCCATGTCTCTGCTTCCTCTCCTCTCCTTCACTCCCCCTCCCCCCAGGTCCTCTCAGGCCTGGCTCAGATGATGCGGGAGTGCTGGTACCCCAACCCCTCTGCCCGCCTCACTGCGCTGCGGATCAAGAAGACACTACAGAAACTCAGCAATGGTCTCCAGAAGCCCAAAGTTATTCCCTAGCCATGGGGCTGAAGCCTGACTCCCCTCTGCCTGCAGTGTCTGTGGGGTGGTTGGTGGATGGCAGCCTGCCTAGGGAGCCGTTCTGTGAGTGTGTGTGCCGGGGAGGGGGGTGCCCCTCTATGGGCAGCTGTGCCTGTCCGACTCGGCCCCCAGCCCATCCAGCCAAAAATACAGCTGGGCTGAAACCCGATCCCCCCACTGTCTGGCCTGCTCCAGGCAGCAGGCTCTCTGACGCCTGGCTCCCTCCCTACCCCCCATGCCCTGGACGCACCCCCTATACCACACCTATGCATCAGGACAGGATGCAAGAGATCCCAGAGCCACAGCGGTCAAGTCAGGGAACTGTCCTGGGCCCAGAGCCTGGACCTGCACTTTACCCCCTGCCCTCTGTCAACCCCACTGCCCCACTGGAGCTTCCAGGATGGCACAGAGCCCTGTCCAGCCTTCAGCAGACACTCTGCCCTGCCAGGCTTCAGCCTCTGGCCCAAGCTCCAGACACCCAGGGCCCATCAGCTTTTCTCTGTGGGTTTGTATTTCAGCTCCAGGCCACCTTGGGCCCCTGTCTCCTAGACATGAAACCCCCCCCGCGCGCCCCCCCCAACCCCGCAGAGATGGAGCCTGATCCTTGGCCCCTCTCCCACCCCTTCCTAGCTGACTTATTGTGACATGAAGCCCAAGGAGTCTTGCTGTGGGTGTAGCCAGTGGAGAAGTGGCAGGTCAGATGGGCAAGGCCCAGGGCTTCCAGAATAAACGAGAGGATGTTGGGGCCAAGCGTGGCCGGGGAAAGGCCCATCTGGGAGTCAGGAGACCCAGAGTCTGGTCTGGGTGGTTGCTCTCTGTGACAAAAAGGAGGCCTTCCCTGTACCAGGACCTTTGTTTCTTCATCTCCATATCGAAAGGTTTTGTCCTGATATCCTTTGAAGTTTTTTCAGCTCTAAAGTTCTTTGAAATTTCAGCCTGTGTAAGAACTCTGTTCATCAGTGCCTTATACTCCTTCTGCCCCAGCCCCTGGCAATTTGCCTCAAGATGGAAATTTGAAAATAACTTTATCTGAGGCCAAGAGTATCTGAAATGTTTCCTAGTCTAATTCTACAAGCTCCAGTTCCTGTCTTAACCCATGCCTCTGGCCATCCTTGGGCTCAGACAACCCTGGGTTGTCTGGCAGGCAGATCAGCCACTCACCTGCTCTGTGGCTTCACCTCCTCTCCCCAGGGCTGAGAGGGTCTGAGGAAGCTTCCTGCAGGGCATCCAAGACTCAGAAGAAATCTGGCTCCAGCCAACAAGCCTCCAGCACCCAGATTCTTCCCCCATGGGCCCCTGTGTGGCCTTCCTAGTCCCACACATTTGGCCAGACCCCAGAGTGTATGTGTCTAGGAAGAACCTGATGCCTGTAGAGAAACACACGGAAAGTTCAGCATTTGGAAATATCAAATTTTTGGTGTTCCAGGGTGTATATCCATGTGCTGAGGAGGTTACCCGAGCCCTCAGTGGGTGGATGGGCTAGAGGGCAGTTGGGTTGGAGGTAGGGCCAGAGGGTTGGGGGGCCTGCGGGTTGTGGGGTGAGGTGCAGGGCTCAGATTAGGGACACGACAGCCCCAAACTTGGGAAGACCTGGTCTCACATCCCTCAGCCCTGAGACGGCATGGAGAAGGACCCTCAGTTCTCCACAAGAGGTGAAGGAAACAGCCTTCTCCCCTCCTGTTGGAAATGCCCCAGCACAGCCTCCCTGGTCAGCTTCTCGAGTGTTCCTTCCACCATCAGAGCAGCACTTTCCCAGGCTGCCTCCCAGCATTGTGCAAGGCCCAGAGGAGGAGCAGGAAGTGAAACTGGGTGAAACAGAAAGCTGCATGAACCTGCCAGGTTCCCACAACATCGCAGGGCACTTTGCTTCCTGGCAGAGTCAAGTCTTCTGGGTCACTGGAATCCGCCTAAACCAGGAATCCCCCTGAAGGATTTTATCTCTACTGGATTTTGGGGGGTAAAAAAGTCTCCTTAGGCTCCAAGCCAGAGACTGAAGGCAGCAGCTCCCCCAAAGGCTGGAAAATCCCTAAGAAGAGAAAGTCTGAGGCAGGAGGTCAAGTGATGGGGGAGGGTTGAGAGAAGAGGCCAGAGTTGGGAGAACAGCTATGGCCAGAGTAGGCGACACTGGTGAGAGAAGTCTGCACAATGCTGCTGAGTTCAGGATGATGTTCCAGGCCCAATGTTACGTTCTCTTAGCCTGGAGGTACTGTTTGTGGGAGCGCTTAACTCCTGCTTAGCACATGAGTGAGTGAAAGTCGCTCAGTCATGTCCTACTGTTTGCGACCCTATGGACTCTGCAGTCCATGGAATTCTCCAGGCCAGAATACTGGAGTGGTTAGCCATTCCCTTCTCCAGGAGATCTTCCCAACCTAGGGACCGAACCAGGCGGTCCCGCATTGCAGGCGGATTCTTTACCAGCTGAAGCCCAAGAATATTGGAGTGGGTAGCCTGTCCCTTCTCCAGCAGATCTTCCCGACCCAGGAATCGATCTGGGGTCTCCGGTATTGCAGGCAGATTCTTTACCAACTGAACTATCAGGGAAGCCGCTTAGCACATAGTAGGTCCTCAATAAAGCTTGGTTGAGTCCGGAGCTCTGGCTAAGTCTTCCCAGGTCGGTGCCTCTGGTTCCCTCTGGTTCGCCGAGGGAACAACAGGGGATGCGGAAGGAGCTGGTCCCAGAGTATCCTGCGTGGGCTCTGCCCTGCAGAGAAAAGTCACAGTTGGTGAAGGAGCCTGCTTGGATCCGGAGCTGCCGCCCAAATCTCAGCTCCCACCGCCGGCTGGGAGCGGCCCTCTAGCGGCGCCTCCGCACGCCCTCTGCTGGCCAAAGGGCGACCCAGCAGCCGCCTCCCGCCCCGCCCCGCGCGTGGGGCCGCGAGCCCATTCCCTGCCTCGGATCTTCTTACGCCGCGCCCAGGCAGCTGTGTGCGTGCGCTTACCCATGCTTCTGTTCTGTAGGGACGGTCCCCCGAAAACCACATCTAGAAAAGAGCTGCGTTCTCACTCAGAGGCAGCTTGGATACGCCCGCCTGAATTCGCCGTTCTCAATTCCCTCTTTAAATGCCCACCCCTCCCTTGCCAGGAGTCAATCCTTATCCCCAGGATGGGAAAGTGACCGCCATCCTCTGGACCCACCTTGGCGTCCAAGGAGGCCTTAGAAAGCACCTCTCCGCGCCCCCCTCCCCCCCGAAATTGGGGGCGGGGCCATGCCATAGGGGAGGCAGGTACTGAAAGAAGCCAAGAGGTGACCCTTCCATTTGACTGCCCAGCCTAGGAAATCTGTGCCTTTGCAGAAGAGGCTCCCTTACCTCCCTTTTACCACGGAGGACCTCCCCTCCTCCCAGCAGCCCACAAAGTGGCTCATGCCTGGAGCCTGCTACTGACTGCAGAAGCCTTTGTCTATGGACCCCCACAACGGACAGTGCCCTCTTTCCTAGAGGATCTTTTAAATTAGCTTTGGGAAAATGAGAAAATGAGAGTGTTCTTTTCCCCTCCTGTCCCTGCCAGACCCTGATCCTTACATCCCACCGTGATGTCCACATATCGTTGACTATGGGCAGAAATGCAGTGAGTACATTGCGGAAAAGAAATCACAAGACAGGCTGCGATCTGGGAAAGAAGAACTGGCCCATTGCCCTCCAGGGTTAGAAGGTCATGGCATCCAAGCCCCTGCCTCCATGTAGAGCCTCAGGGAATCTGCCTGCCTTTTAAAGAAGAAAATCCATCAACTTTTTCTCAGTTTTGTCCTGCTTTCCTGGGGGGACCCCAGGCTCTAATTTCCTTACCTATATAAAGAGGGAGGGGATCATCTAAGTGGTAAGGATGCTCCCTCAGGGGTGATAGGTGTCTATAACATGCCCAGATGAGAGTGAAGCTTGTTTCTTGGAGCATGTGCTTTGATGACCACAACTTCCTTTGCCAAGCCCTTGTGGTACCCAGTTCTCCCTACTCTCGAAGTCACCATCCTCCCTCAGTTCTGCCTGCATCTGCCCTCACAGAGGGTGGCTCTTCTTCCTCCAGAGCTTCACTCTCATCAAGATGAACAGACCAAGAGGTAGCAAATCTCCCTGTCTATTCAGCCCTGGGGGTGGTGTGGAGGGGTGCACGTCCAGAGTGGGGACGGGTGCTGACTGTGCAGTCGTCACTGTGGGTGGGCGACTCTTGGAACGAGCTGCTTCTACCAGGACCACATTCAGTTTGCTAGAAATAGAGACAGAGGGCTTCTTGACTTTGCATATGATTTGCATAATGTCATAGACACACAGTCTATTTTCAGGCAGCTTTCAGGTTAAAGTGTTGTCACTGCTGCCCTGCGGGGTGTCACGTCTGGATGAGTCTCTTCCCTGTTCTTTCTCACCCACCCACTCTTACTGACCTAGATCCCCAAGTGCAGGAGCCAGTGGCAGGGTGGAAGGGGCAGAGTGGGGTTGTCCGGGGAGACACGGGGGCAGGGCAGAAGGCACACTGGCATTTCCTTTGTTACCACCACTACCCAAAGCAGTGTGGAGCTGTTCAAGGGCAACAGATAGGCAGAGGCAAGGAACGGGAAGCAAGGTGGCTGGCTCATGGTCTGTTCTGCACAAACTGCTCCCGCCTCTTCTACCAGAACAGCCAGTTCCCATACCCTCAATTTAGTCTTCTGCCAGTTTAAAGGAAGACATCTAGATAAACCTGTTCCTCTCAGCCACCATAAAGCTTGGCTTGGCCCAGCTATCCCTCTTGGGCATTTATTTTCAGCAGTAAGATTTGATCTTAGCCTCTTATGAAATCTGACCCTCATTCTGTCCCTCTTCTGGGAACCCCATCTGGGAGACCAGTAAGCTAGTCTGATGATCAGTGTTTACAAAACACCTGGCACGTAGTAGGAGGTGACTCAGTACTAGAAGAGTCCCCTTCCTCTCCTTCCTCTAGAAATCTGTGCCAAGCACCTAATTGTCCCAGGCCTAGATGCCCAGAACAGTCACCATTTTCTGAGGGCGCAAGGCAAACAGAAGGGCCAGTTGGGCTGACTTACTAAGACGTCTATTGACCTTGGCAGGTCCTTTGGCCTCTCAGCTAGGAAAGAGGGGGGTTGGTGGGTTTTAAGTGCAAGGGCAATTCTCATGTCACAGAGGGCTAGGGCTGAAGCCCCACCTAGGCTATGATCAGGGCCTGTCTGCTGTACTGTCTTACTGTGGACACCTAAGGATTCACCAGATGCCAAGGCAAGAAGCCTGGGAGACTTGCTGGGTCCTGGGAGTCATGAGGTCGCTCAGTCAGGCTGGACAGCAGCACCATACCACCCAGAGTTCCCGGCCCCTGGCGCCCAGTCCCTCTGGACCTGCCTCATCCCCTTAGGCAGGCGTTTCCTGTTGATAAGAAGCTCAGTCAACAAACACTGATAAAGAGATGAAAAAAGGAAATTGACAGGACTTGGGTATAATGGGCATTTTTGTCTGCCTTTTCTACCCTTCCTCCTTCTTCCAGCACTCCTCCCCCACTGCTTCCCAGAACTGAGGCGAAAACAGGCCCCCCACCTCCACTATGGGCCCTGATTTGCAGTTTCCAGGAATTTAGCCTTACAGAGCCCTTAGAAGCAGGGCCTCGTTTGACCTGGGCGGGGGGTGGATTGCGGGGAGCCGGTAGGAGCTCAGAGGCAGGAAGCTCTGGGTGCTGCAAGGCCCCCAAGTCCAGGGAAAAGGGCAGAGGCAGCAGGAAGGAAGGACTGTCAGGCACAGGTTGCATCTCCGACCTTCGCTGTTCCCTTCTCCTCCTCCCCCCAGAGGCCTGGATCCAAGTCGTGCTTAGGTGGCTGCATGGTCTATAATTAGTGGATTTTCCATCATTTTAGTCTCGGGCTCATTACTGGAAAATCTCATTAATTTTGACTGTACTAATTTGGAATCTATGATCCTTCGGGACAAGAAGCTGGACTGATGTTTAGAAAAAGAAAACAAACAAGTTTGCAAAGTGGGTCCGACTGCCCTTCCTGGGTTTGGATTTGTAAACTCAGCTCAACAAAGGCCCTTTTCTCAAGCACTCAGCCTGCAGTTA